TGTTTGGATGATCTACCCATTGATATAAGTGGAGAGCTAAAGTCCTCTACTATTATTGTGTTACTGTCCATTTCTCCTTCTATGTCTGTTAATAATTGCTTTATATATTTAGGTGCTCCTATGTTGGATGCATAGATGTTTACAAGTGTTAAGTCTTCTTGTTGGATTATTCCCTTTATCATTATGTAGTGCCCTTCTTTGTCTCTTATTACATTTTATTTTAAAGTCTATTTTGTCTGCTATAAGTATTGCTACACCAGCTTTCTTTCCATTGCCATTTTCATGGAGTATTTTTTTCCATCTCTTCATTTTCAGTTTGTGAGTGTCTTTACGTCTGAAATGTGTCTCTTGTATGCAGCATATATATGGGTCTTCTTTTTTTATCCAATCAGCAACCCTATGTCTTTTGATTGGAGCATTTAGTGCATTGACATTTATAGTAGCTATTGATAAGTATGTACTTATTGCCAATTTCTTAGTTTTTTTTATGGGTCTTTTTGTAATTCTTCTGTGTTCCTTTCTTCTTCTCTTGCTCTTCCCTTGTGGTTTGATGGCTTTCTTTAGTATTATGTTTGGGTTCCTTTCTCTTAATTTTTCATGTATTTATTATAGGTTTCTAGTATGTGTTTACCATGAGGTTCATATATAATATCCTATGTAAATAGCAATTTATATTGTTGATGATCTCTTAAATTTGACCTCTTGCGAAAAGCTCTACTCTTTTACTCCCCTCCTCCCACATTTCATGCTTTTGATATCATATTTAACTCTTCTTTTGTGTGTGTATCTGTTAAACTCTTATCATGGAAATAGATACTTTTATTACTTTTGTCTGGTGACTTTCATATTAGCTTCATAGGTGGTTGATCTACTACCTTGGCTGTATGTTTGCCTTTCCCAGTGATTTTATTTTATTTATTTTTTGATAATTTTATTGTTCCTATTTGTGGTCTTTACTTTTTCACTTAAGTAAGTCCCTTCAGCATTTCTTGTAAGACTGGTTTATTGATGATAAACTCCTTTAGTTTTTGCTTGTCTGGAGAGCTCTTTAGTTCTCCTCCTGTTCTCAATGATAACCTTGCCAGGTAGAGTATTCTTGGCTTAGCTTTTTTCCTTTCAGCACTTTAAATATAATGTGCCACTCCCTTCTACACTGTAAGCTTTCTGCTGAGAAGTCAGCTGATAGCCTTATGGGGTTTCCATTGTATGTAACTTGTAGCCTTTCTCTTGCAGCTTTTAGGATTCTCTCTTTATCTTTAGTTCTTGACAGTTTAATTATAATGTGTCTTGGTGTGGGCCTCTTTAGGTTCACCTTGTTTGGTGCTCTCTGTGCTTCCTGTACCTGGATGTCTGTTTCTTTCTTTAGGTTAAGAAAGTTTTCAGCTATTATTTCTTTGAATAGATTCTCTGCCCCTTTGTCTCTCTCTTCTCCTTCTGGGACACCTATTATACAGATGTTAGTATGCTTCATGTTGTCTCAGAAGTCCCTTAGACTGTCCTCATTCTTTTTTTTTTTTTAGTGAAGAAGATTGGCCCTGAACTAACATCTGTTGGCAGTCTTCCTCATTTTTGCTTGAGGAAGATTGGCTCTGAGCTAACATCTGTGCCAATCTTCTTCTATTTTTTTGTATGTGGGTCACTGCCACAGCATGGCTTGATGAGTGGTGTAGGTCCATGCCTGGGATATGAACCCCTGAACCTGGGCCACTGAAGCAAAGCATGCCAAACTTAACCACTATGCCACTGGGACAATCTTTGTTCTTTTTAATTCTTTTTCTCTTTTTTCTGTTCAGCCTTGGTGATTTCCTCTAGTCTTTTATCCAGCTTGCTAATCCATTCTGTATCATCCACTCTGCTATTGAGTCCCTCTCGTGAATTTTTCATTTCCATTATTGTATTCTTCAGTTCTGATTGATTCTTTTTTATATTTTCCAGTTCTTTGTTGTTCTTACTGTATTCATCTATTCTTCCCTCAGATCAGTGAGCATCCTTATGACTATTAGTTTGTACTCTTTATTAGGTATATTGTTTATCTCTGTTTTGTTTAGTTCTTTTTCTGAGGATTTGTGCTGTTCCCTCACTTAGAACATATTCCTTTGTCTCCTCATTTTTCCTATGTCTCTGTGCTTATATCTGTGTTTTAGGTAGGTCAGCTACGTCTTCTGATCTTGGAGATGTGGCCCTATGTAAGAGATGCCTTATGAGGCCCAGCAATGTGCTTCCCTCTTGTCACCAGTTATAAATGTTCCAGGAATGTCCCCTGTGTGAGCTACATGTGTCCTTATGTTGTGGTGGGGTTGCTCTTACTGCAGGTGCACAGGAAGTCTAGGCTGGCTTGTTCTAAGGCTGCATGCAACTGCTGTGGTCCCTTCAATCACTTTATTGGGAAGGAGGAGCCCCAACACAGTTGGCTGCAAGGTCTAATAGCACAGTCCTGCTGCAGTTTTTCTGTTAAGTGAGTAGGCCCCTAGCATGGCTGGTTGCTAGGCTCAGGGGCTAACAATTGCTGTAGGCCTCCAGCCTGCAAGGATATAGTCAGCTCTCTCAGTAGTGCAGCTGGGTGGGGCTGGCACCAGGCGTGGCAGCACACAGTTTTTTCAGGTATTGGAATATGGGATAGATCACCTATATGGATGCTTGAGAAGCACTAGTCTGCTGCAACTGACAAGCCGTACTGCCCCCAGGTGCACACACTCTGTTAACAGAGTCCTGCCCTGTGTGCATGCCCCAACCCACTGAAGTGGACCCACTTGCCCTGCTGCAGAGGCCCCACACACTCTGCCAACACAGGCCTGCCCCTCATGCCTGCCGTGCCTTGCAGAGGCAGATCCCCTTCCCCTGCTACAGAGTTCCCACACACCCCACCTATGCAGGCCTACAAGTTGCCTGAGGGCTTGCTGGTGGGTGGGGCCAGTCCATAGGGCAGGCTGCCTACCCTCACTGAGCTGGATTAAATCAGTGCTCTAGTGGGCAGAGCAAACTCTTGTGCTAACAGGCCAGGGGAAGAACTCCAATGGCTTCTGCCAGTGTCTGTCAGCATGCCTGTACTAGGTCACAATAATGGGTGCCACCAATGTCTCAGTCCCTGCAGAGGTGGTCCCAGCCACCTCCTGCCTCCCGGAAATATGCCCATAGCCTATCATGTGAGTCTCTTTTTGCTGAAGGATTGTGCATCTTTCTTCCTGGTGATTTTATGTTGCTTTCTGAAGCAGATGAATTTGTGCATGAGCCCTTTAAGAGCAGGCTTTTCTTTCTCTGATGTTCATAGCTTCTCTGGGGATAGTCTCCATTGTTGTTAATAGTCATCAAAGCCAAATAGTATGACAGTTGTCTTGGTTGTGCTGAGTTCAAAAGCTGCTGATTGTGGCAGAACTCTCCCTCTCAGATCCCCCACTCCTCCAGGAGCTTAAGATTGCTCCTGGCCATGAAGTGCTGTGGCTAGAATGTGGCTTTTTCCTCTCCAGAAAGGAATTTCTGCCTCTTCCACCTCAGTCAGTGCTGTCCCTTGTTGTGGGGGTTCTTTTTATCCAGTTTCTGGTTCTCTCTCAGGGGTAATTATTCCAAGGGTAGTTGGAATTTGTTGTGTCCATGGGAGGAGATGAGTTCAGAGTCCTCCTATGTCTCCATCTTCCCAGCAATCTTGCCAAATAATTATTAATTGATAAGGAAAAAAATTAATTTTAGAGTGAAGACAGACAGACGTACCTTAATCAACTGATCAAAATGACTTTTATCAGTAATATAACAAATTGAGATTGTGTACCATTTGTTATGGTGCAATGAAATAAACTCAGCAACTCTCCTTTGATAATGTTGCCAAGATGCATAACCAGAGTTTAATTATGAGGAAACATTTTATAATCCTAAATTGAGGGACCTTTTACCAAATAATCATCCTGTAGTCATAAAACTTTTCAAGGTCATGAAACCAACAAAAAATGTAGGTCAGTAAACTAAGGAGACGTGAAAACTAAATACAATGATTGATTCTAAACTGGATCCTTCTGCTATAAAGTGCCAATATTGTGATGAAGGTAAATGTGAGTGGAAACTGAGGATTAGATGTTAGGAATGTATCTTTACTTCCTGGTATTCAAGGGTCTGTTTTAGGATAATTAATTTCTGTGTAAGAATTATACATTAAAATACTTAGAGTTATCAAGATATTGTGTTGGCATTTCACTCTTAACTGTTTCAAGAAACAAAATTTATTCTTTGGACTATATTTGCATTTTTTCTCTCAATTGGAGATTGTTACAAAATTAAACAAAAACCCATTAAACAGTACACAAAAGGGATGATTAGGCACATGTGTGTGGTGATAGATTGGAATTAGTCTTTGGGTGGTGAACATGATGTAATCTGTGCAGAAATAGAAGCGTAATGATGTACACTTGAAAATTATATAATGTTATAAAACAATGTTATCGCAGTAAAAAAACAAGAAGTGTAGAAATATAAAAAAAGTTAAAAAAGTAAAAAGAATCTAGGGCGTATACATTTTATATACTCAATGTTGAGATATTTTAATTGATTAATTTTGTTACCAAAGTACAAATAATCCTGATTTTTCATTAACACAATCAATCATCTTTTATTCCTTTGGTTTTCCACATAAATTTTTTACTGTTTTATTTTCTTATAAATAATTAATGCTTCTTATAATGATTATAATTATGATGTTGACAATAATAATGAAAATAATAAATAATAAAACATACTTAGATAGAGCTTTTTGTGTGCCAAACACTGTTGTGTTTTAATATATTCTAACTCATGTCATCTTAACTTTGTCTACTTGCTAGATGTCTTTTATGTCGAATTACAATAGAAATGAAGTTATTGCTTTTATTTACAACTTGTATCAAAAATAAAAGCACTCACCCTTCCTTCTTGGCTCTTCTGTAAGTGAATAGTACAGAATTCATAGCAATTTATTGAGGAGTGTTACTTCGATACTGATTTATTACATTTATCTGAGGATTATAATTTCATTTTAGACGTTCCCATGGCACAAAGTTTTTTAGCAGTTGCAGCATGAATGAATTTAAACGTATAGTTTCACAGCCTGAATTTGAATGTCTTCAGAATCAAGCAGCTTCAAAAGTGGTTAACCAAGGAAGATCTAGGTCTTGTGGCAACGGGATTTTGGAACCGCCAGAGCAATGTGATTGTGGCCTTCCAGAGGTTAGTAACAAACCTTCATAGCTTATCTAAAGACTTGCATTTGTGCTTCTCATGTAGTCTTATAAATATAGATGTTATATAAAAGGAAGGGACTTTTTTTTCCAAATGCTGCACCATTTTATCAGATATCTAAGATAGGAAGATATCGGGCATTTGATAACTGACTCATCCTGAATTTGAAGCATTTGAAGAGTTTAAGTATGGGGTAAGTGTAGCATGGATTAAAGAAATAGATTTTCTTCATTGTGTAACCATTAAAGTAATAACCACCTTTCTGTATCATAAACGTCAGTATCATTAATAGTATAATCATCACCTACATCATCTCCTGAATTCCTCCAAAGTGACTGCATTGGTTCACTAAGTTATTAAATGTATGTGGTTGTTTACTTCCTCACCTCTTAGTTTCAGTTCTTGTATCTGGGCGAACTTCATTTATTTTAACTTGGCTTCACAAAATTCGATTAGTCATAATCCTTGGTTTGTAATTGTTATATTTAGCATTTTTGCTCTTATCTTTTTTTGTTTCAGTTGTTCTTGCTAAGATAAGCTAATCATTGAATTTTGTTGTGACTGCCTGCACGCACTTATGCATGATGATTTTTTGGAATGTTCCTTATTTGCTTGAGAAGTTGAAAGCTCTTTAATTGTTAGGAACAAAATTCTGTATAACTTGATTACATCATAATTTTTAAGTGAATGACCCACATCTTCCGTGTTTTTACTGATTTTGATTGGCTGACATCTCAGTACTTGAGACATAATATTGATACATCCTACTATACAGTTGGATTTGCCTAATTCTCTCAATTCATGCTTTATATATTTTGAAGCTGTTTTATATGGTACAAACTTATGTAAAATTGTTATATCTTTCTAGAAATTTAATTTTTTATCTTCAAATACTGGATATCTTTATTTCTAAAGTTGATTTCTGTTTTAAAGTCTATTTGGCCGGATACATCCATATATCTATATCTATGCACACACTAGCTTCCTGTAATTAGTATTTCTCTGATATCTCTCTATTCTCATTTAGTTTTTCTGTATAAGTTCAGTATCTACATTGGATTTTAATTTATTATTCAGTTTGTCTTTGATTTTAAGATTATCCCCTTAAACACTATTGTGATTAATATTTTTGCATATTGTTTTAATTAACTCAAGTCCATAGTTTATTCAGATTTCCTTTATTATTTTTTTATTTTTTTTTAATTTTTTGTTTATTGCAGTAACATTGGTTTATAACATTGTAAAAATTTCAGGTGTACATCATTATACTTCTATTTCTGCAT